AAAAATTTAATTCCTCCCAAATATGGGCTAAATAATGTTATGTTTGAGTTCGTATGGTGTATACTTAGCCATTGTTTGAGCTCAATTATAATTAGTTTTTGAGAAAAAAAATGTATTTTATAATAATAATTTTTTGAAGGTGTGATTAAAAAAGAAAGAAAAGTTTTGAGTTTACGTGTGATATTATTTTATTGGAGATCGTGTGGTTAAAAAGAAGAAAGAGAAAAACGCATTTTAGAATTAATGGAGCCTAAATAGGGGGCTTAAATTAATTACGCAATAGTCAATAGATAATATCGAGGCTCTGTTTGATGGTCATTATTTGGCAAAGATAAAATTTTGAATAGTGATTTTTTTGAGAATATGTAGTTAAAAAGTAAGAAAATATTTTAAGTTTAGATACATAATATTTTATTATATAAATACATGATTGAAAATGAATATATGGAAAAAAAAAAATTTGATAATGATCGTCAAAAGGCTGAATTTTCTCCAAAAGTATTTTCACAACAAAAAAATGTCAAAAATAATTGTTTGAAAATAAATAAATACTTCTCTGACTCATTTATTTACTTGTGCCCTGTGGTGGAAAATACTATTATTATGACAATGACAAACTGACTGTCACCATGTGGCAGACCCTTATTGAATTGGATTAAGCCATTTGTACAAGGGCTCTACACCCTCTCACGTGAGGTGGGTCCTACCTTAATAAGAAAGCAAAAAAAAAAATAAAAAATTATCCAACCCCTTATGTGTGAGTTGTCGGTAGGTGTCATATGAACCTCCACCTGTACCTGAAGCATGATTGTAATTTTAGGAGAGATTAAAATCAGATTAAAATTGAAAAATTAGTTGTTATTGTTGACTTTTATTAGACGAGTGAAATCTAATAACGACTATATTTTCAATTTTAGTTGGATTAAAATCCCTTCCAAACAAGCTATGAATTTCATGCACCATAGAATTCCAGATTATTATGGTATTTAGAATTCGTTTCATCCCCATTATTTTTAAAATATATTTTTCTTTTTTTTTAATCACATATTTTTCAATAAAATAATATTACGCACAAACTAATTTTTTTTAAACATACATTCTTCGTCAATCTACTATTTCAAAATGAATTGTTAGAATAAAAATGGGGCTCAGACAGACACTCACTAAAATCGGACTGAATTTCAAGCCACTCGATGTTAAGAGGTTTATATTTGGTGGAAATTAAAATCAAAATTTTAATAAATTTTGATAAAAATCCATAAAGCATGTAATTAAAAAATGAATAATGCTAAGAGTACATCA